CTCCATTTCCTTGACACTGGATTGTCACGGCATTCCCTACTTGTTAGGTCGGCTGCGGGTAAGGTATCTCCTTTGCCTGCCGTGGCCACTGTATTTGATGCAGGACAGGTACGCAACACTGGGCTGAAAGACATGTCTGGCGTCCCTTTCGAAGCCTTCCCTTTCCGTATTTTCGCCGGTTAGCAGCGGGGATCAGCGTGGCATTCTGCGCTGTATTACCGAATCTGGTCGGCGGTGTCAGCGGAGCGGGAAGGTACCATCCGGACATTCATCGTTCTTCCCAGTCGCAGTCGGAATTCCACCAAACAATCTCCAACATGAAGGCATAGCTTCCCTTCCTCCAACTCCCCTGTGTTCTTATTTGTGTCCGACTGTCACCGGATAAAGCAGAGCGATCCTTCTCAGTCCCGACTTCACAGGTCCACAAACCATGAGATTAAAGAGAGAAGCGAATTCAGGACCAAGGATGGTTGATTGATTGCCTTATGACGTCCGCTAAATGTCACCAAATGTGGAGGGCGGCAGAGCCCAAAGGTACAAAGTACCGAATGCTCAAGGTACCTCCTAACTTAGTAACCTCACAAAGTGGTCTGACACCGGCCTCTTTCGCTACCTCGTCAAACACGCACATAGTAACGCCGCCTCTTCGCTAATATTCCTCAAATTTGCTATTTTTATGCGCCAGCCCCGTCTCACGGTCTCACTCTCACTCACTCTCTCAACCCGCCAACTGGTCTTTGCGCAACCCAAGAGCCCAGACCAGAATCTCTCCCAAGGGTCTCAAGGGAGAACTTGGAAACTTTAAAGGGGAAAAGGGAATACAACAACATTTAAACATCCGCAGGAAATTCATCTAAGGAATGTCCACTGGCATGGAGCATCCCGTATGGAACAAAGAGCCCAGCGAACCGACCAGGGGAGGAAATAACTCTAGTCTCCCATCTCTGTGGCATGTCTCGGACAAGATCGAGACTCCTGCGGCTTTACCGGGTTATACAGAATGCATGCTACACTGGCCCGAGCATTCTGTCTCACTTTGAGTTGCCAATGGCTAGCTGACGATAGAGTACCTTATTTCGGACACCAAGAGGATATCCAGGCGTTGCTTGAACGTTGGGCGACTGATTATTGACATTAATGATTTGATAACAGGAAGCGTAGAGTTTGTGGGCTGTATGATCAACCTCATTTTCTGGAATCAACCAAAACACCGCAAGCACATGTTCGTCGCGGCAACCATGAACGCCTTCCCCACCGGTTCCCACCGAATAAGGTACCCCATCTTCCGCAGCCAACCCTGTCGAAACTTGGTCGACGACGATCTTCCCTCCTCGATGGTCACGTCAACGCCGATTGACTAAGCCCAAACTGTGATTTTGCCGGACACCAAACGAGGCTTCACCTCTCTCCATCGCTTTTGAATAACACCCCCGATCTACTAATTCTCCTCCACATTGGTCAAGTAATGCGTCTCCAGACTAAACCGCGCAAACGGGCTCCTCTGCCTCAACCTCTTGCTGAACCGGAAAAACACCCACGGAGTCACGCAGAACGCGGCCGCCAGACCCGCCAGTATCGTGCCCGCGTAGTTGGCGTTCAGCCCGGCATACATCTCGTGCGCCACGAGCGGCATCAGCCCTGACGCGACGGCCCGCACGAGCGCGAGACCCGAGAACGCCGATGCCGAGTAGAGCAGGTACGAGTCCGCGAGGTAGCCGCTCAGCGTGTGCGCCGTCTCGTTCACCGCGAAGCCCACAAGCACGAGCGACGCCGTGGGCACCGCCCAGTGGACGCCCGGCACCAGCGGCGGCACCGTCCACGCGAACCACGCCAGCCCGATGGCGAGTGCCGGGGCGGCGAACGCGAAGCCGATGATTTTGTCCTCTCTGGTCAAAGGAATAGGGACTGGTGAGCCTTGAGAGATCTCGATGAACGGGGGGAAGGGATTTATGAGTGACTCACGGCTGGATGGGAATCTGCTTCCGTTGACGGTCCCGGACGACCTTCATATCCCACAGACGAGGGAGGAACGTGAAGACCACGCCGACGGCGATGGCCAGGAACGGCAGCGACGCCTGCGTCTTGGTGAACCCGAGCGAGACGTAGACCACGGTGAGCGACTCGGTAAAAAGGTAAATCATACCCCACGACGACGCCGAGATGAGCGCCACCATAACGACCAACGGCTCCGTGAGCAAGATCTTGCCCGGTCGAAGGACGCTGATCCGGACCAGGGCGCGCCAGTCGCGCGCCTCGTCTGGGTTATGCCACGCCAGCTCCCGTACCGTCGTCCTCTCCCTCTGAATCTTCTTGACAATGGCCCCCAGTAGGATACTAGGCCGGCTCTCCCTGATCCCAAACATGGCCAGGAAGAGCACCGCCGTCACGGCGGCCGCGCTGTGGAAGATCCACCGCCACCCGACCGCTTGCGAAATATACGCGGCGTAGACGGGGCCGAAACACAGCCCGACCGTCGTCCCCGCGTTCCAAAGGACAATGATCCAGACCCGGCGCTTCGTGTTGAACATATCCTCTACGCTGCCGGCGATGACGACGGACGGCACGGCCGAGGCGAGGCCCGCCGCGAAACGGCCCGCGTAGACGGCTGCTGGGTCGTGGATTAGGCCGGTGAGGAGGCTCGCGAGGCAGAAAGCGGCGCAGGAGATAAGGTAGGGGAGGCGGCGGCCAAAGAGCTCGGAAAAGGGGGGGATGAGGAAGCCGCCTATGGCTTGGCCGAGCTGGTACCTATTATTGTTGTCTGTGAGGACTGCTTCTCGAAGGGGAAGTGGGAGGGAGGGAGAGAGGGAGAAGCCTACATTAGGGTGAAGCCCACCAGGGATACTTGTCGACTGAGACCATAGTCTGGAGCCGCCTCGGTTGCGGCGACAGCCTGTATTGGGGCAGAGCCTTATTAGTATATCATTCGGGCCTTGGTTCTGTGCCTGATGGGTAGGTTGACGGTGTTGTGTAAGGTAGGTATAAGGGGCTTTGGTGTAGCAACGAACACCCCCACGCTGCTCGGTTCCTGCCGACATACGGACCATATCGGAAGAGATCAATGGGAATGAATCGTGGGCAATATAAGACAATGTAAGGTACTGTGTAATTACGTACTCCAGTTGTACTTATAATTGTACTTTTCAACCTGTCAGCTACGGAAAACAGATACAAAGAAAAAAAGGTTCTCTCACGTGTACAGCTCAAACAGAATAATGAACGTCGTATCAAACACCTTCCGTCTGGTAGTCCAGTTCCGCGGGTGCGTAGCACAGTCCCGCTGCCAGTTGACGAAGCCGTCGGCGCGCCTCTCGAGTCCGTACCGTGCCAGGACGGCATTCTCATCCGTATACGTACCCGTCTCCGCGTCCTCGACGATGGCACAGGAGGAGACAGCGGCAAGGGTTTTGAAATTGGCGGACTCCGTCGGCTCCTGGGCGTCAAGGCTTTCTAGAACCATGCTTGGAGACGTCCGGCCTAGGGTGGTAAGGGGGAAAGGGACGGGAAGGAAGTTGCGGGATGAAGGTTAGAGATGGGAGATGAGCATAATCTAGGTAGGTGAGTACAGGAAAAGGACTGGGAAAAAGGAATATGGTTGAAGAGGAGAATCGTGGACTAGACGCCGGTAGAGTACCGTCGTCTGTCTCTTCCCCCTTTTTGGAGTGCATTATGCTTCCGGCTACCGGCTTATATCCCACACCGCTGATTGACGACGAGGCATCATTCTCTTCTGTTAAACAGACACACCTCATTGAGCCAAGAGAACATATCCTCCTCCTTCTAATATTCTTAGTCATAGACGTGTTCAATGGTCAATCCTGCAGTGCCAACAAATGCCCAGCTAACTCGGATGAGGCGAAAGCAGACGAAGGAGAACTCAGCCCCAAGGTCTCCTTCCAAGGGAAATTGTAGAAGATCGTGAATACTGCTACAAATCACAAAAAAGAAAACCATGGTGAATGAGGATCAAAAGGGGAAGCAAACTATTTGCTGCACGTGAGATCCCAGACAGGTTACATCTGCCGTAAGCACTTGGAAACCGACGTCGCGTCAACGGTCCAATCGCGAGTAGATATTGCGGCATTGAACCTCGATGATCTGCTTGGGGCTGAGGTATGTTGAGCATACCTTCTTCAAACGATAATCTACGCTGACCTAGTCTGTCCACTAGTATTCTCCCCGTTTCCTCTTGAGGACGGTCTCTATCGCTGATTTGATGGGGGCCGAGGCGTCGTGGTTGAGATGGGCCCTGAGCTGACTGCATGACATCTCTCACTTACATACACACATACTCATTGCCCTTTTTCGTCTGGATGCTCCTCCTGCGCGCGCGGCTGACAGAGGATTGTGTGCTCGACAGCCTCAACCTGAATCCTTCTAGAAACGCCACGATGAGTTCGGATAGGGGTGGGTGTTCCTTTCCTCGGCTCAAAATGTAAGGCGGTAGGAGATCTAGATGTGAGGTTGCCTCGTGATAACATCTCTAACCCGGCTGAGATGAGATCGTCCTAGACTTTGAACGGCATCGTTATTAAGATAGTCCCCGCAAGGCCTGGAAATCTACATGTAACCATCAAACTGCCCACGTTGCCTGATTCCTGATCCTAGCACGGCTTTGCTTCGAGTTTGGTAGATTTCCATACAGGAACTACTCTAGAAACCTACTGGGGTTTCAAAACAACTAATTTATACACCATCCTTTGACAGCTAAAAAATACCGCGAGATCCCTCGCTGTGATGCCTGACGACGAGAATAGCCCTATCCTCTGGGGCTCCCCCCAAGAGACCGGCGCCGCGTTCGACTTCAGGAGTAAGTCAAACCCCTTTTCCCTCTCGTTCCCCCTTTCTACGCCAGCCCATCTAAAGCCCTCCGCCTCGTCTCCATTCTATTCCCAATCAGCCGAATACCCATCCAACGCAAGAGAGAGAGAGAGAGAGAGAAAGAGAAAGAAAGACCATTAATCTCCCCGCCAGGCGACGTAATAACAACCCCTTCCCTAACAATGCTCACCGCAATAACAAACACAACCCTCTCCGACGACGTCTACGCAGAAGACACTACAACCTCCGCCTTCGAAACCTCCCTCGCAAAACGCTGCGGCCACGCCGCCGCCGCCTTCGTCCTCACAGGCACAATGGCAAACCAACTCGCCCTCCGCACCCTCCTAACCCACCCCCCGCACGCCGTCCTCGCCGACGCTTCCGCGCACATAATCCACTGGGAAGCCGGCGGCGTAGCGCACCTCTCGGGCGCCATGGTGCAAGGGATCCGCCCGCGCAACGGGCTGTACTTAACCCTAGAAGACATCGAGAAACATGCCGTCGTGACGGACGATGTACATAAATGCCCCACGCGGGTGGTGAGCATCGAGAATACGTCCTCCGGCGTGGTCGTGCCGCTGGCGGAGCTGCAGAGGATCAGAGAGTGGACGAGCGCCAAGGGGATCGCCGTACACATGGACGGCGCGCGGCTTTGGGAGGCCGTATCCGCGGGCGCGGGAACACTGGAGGGCTTTGGACGGTGCTGTGATGTGCTCACGCTGGACTTTAGCAAGAACCTCGCCGCGCCGATGGGCGCCATGGTCCTCGGCTCCGCTGATCTCATCAAGCGCCTGCGACGTATTCGCAAGAGTATAGGCGGCGGGATGAGACAGGCCGGCATCCTCGCCGCCGCGGCGCGGCAGGCTGTTCTCGAGAACTTCGGTCCCGGCAGCCGGGATGAGAGGGGCGTGTTGGGGAAGAGTCGAGTGATGGCGGCCGAGGTTGAGAGGATGTGGGTTTCCCGGGGCGGGAGGTTGTTGAAGCCCGTCGAGACGAATATGGTCTGGTTGGATCTCCGGGGTTGCGGGGTGGGTTTGGGGCGGTGGAATGAGGCTGGGAGACGGAGGGGGATCAAGTTGGATGGGAAGAGGGTCGTGTTGCATCATCAGGTTGGGGAGGGCGCGATGAGGGCTTTGGGGGATGTGATGGATGAGGTTCTTGGGAGAGTTCGGGAGGTGGCTGTTGGGCTGGGAGGGTTGCCCAGGGCGAGGTTGTAGATGTTTCTTCTCCATGACCATTTGAGGCGACGCCGCCTTGAACCATGGTTCGAAGAAGACTTGACTGCTGTGACAATGAAGTGCTTGGCGAATTGACTGAACTTGGAAGGGGGTATCTTATTGTTCTACAGGAGTCGGTGTTTCCCTCCATCTCTAAAACCAAAACCGTCTCCCTTACACTCCCTCGCCATCATTCCGGCCCCAGAGCTTGACCGTCCGGTCGTGGCCACCGCTAACAATCCACTTGCCGTCCCTGCTGACATCAACACTGGCGACCGGCCCAGAGTGTCCGCTGAGCGTCTGCACCAACCCCCAGTTGTCGGCCGAGAAGATTTTTATCTTTGCGTCGAACCCACCAGAGACGAAAAACGTACCCGCCTTCTTCGGCTGCTGCGCGCCCTTGTCGTCGGCACCGGGCGGGTGGCCGTCAATCGGGTCGTCCAGGCCCCGGAACCACCGCACGTCCGAGACGGCCTTGGCGTGCGCGCCGAGGTTCGCCGTCCGCTGCACCTTGCGCACGTCCCAGCACTTGACCCAGCCGTCGGCCGAGCCCGACAGTACCCTGTGGCCGTCGGAGCCCCAGTCGAGCGCGTAGATGGGCTGGATGTGCTCGTCGAGGATCATGACCGTCCTGCCGGACCGCAGATCCCAGATGCGGCCGATGCTGTCCAGGCCTGCGCTGGCCAGGAGGGAGCCGTCGGCGTTGAAGCTGACAGCGTAGACGCCCCTGGAATGGCCCTCCTGCAGCAGCAGCTCCGCCGTCGTTTCCACGTCCCAGAGCCTCCACGTCGTGTCGTCCGAGGCCGATGCCAGATATCGGCCGGAAGGGTGGAACTCGACGCGGGATACCCTGCCGCCGTGGCCCGTCAGGGTCGAAAGGGGGGTATCTTTGTTCAGAGACCACAGGTGGACCAAGCCCTCAGCTCCGCCGGAAGCAAGGTTCACCGTGTCGGGTGATACGTTGGCCTCGGGTAGCGTGGACCCCGGGTACCATGAGATACCGCTAATCTTTTGTGTGTGTCCTCGGAGGTTCATCTTGGCCTCCATGCTCGGGATCTCAATGAGCTTCAGCGCCCCGCCCCAGTTCCCCACGGCAACGAGCTCTCCGTTTGGCGATAATCTCGTCATGCTAACGTGTCTCTCGCCGGCCGTCTGACTGCCCTGGAGCTCGAAACCATCCAGCTTCTCCTTAATCTGTTTCCGGAACTTGACGTGCGTACGCAACGGGATCGTAGACTCGGCCTTTTGAAACTGCACCCGCCGCCGCGCCCTCGGTAGGGAATACTTTGCGATATCGATGCGCGCCTGCAGCAGGGCCTGGCCGCCCGGTGTGTAAAACTCCTCGTCCTGCTCGTCTTCGTCCTCGTCCTCGGCGTCCTCCATTGTGATATCGCCGTTCTCGATACCATCCATCTCCTGCTGGTTAGCCAGCAGTTGGGTAACTAGCAGGTTCCGGAGACGGTCTCTGCGTTCGGGCTTGCCCTCGCCAAAGAGCGTGACCGGCTCGCCCATCTCTCTGAGCCTCGTGCGCACCCGGTTGTCGTCTGTGGGCACCGCGATGCTCGCCGCCAGCTTCTTCCTCTCCATCTGCGCCAGAACGGCCGACGTCTTCTCGGGCGCGGCGCCAGCAAAGGCGGAGGGAATCTCGTAGTCGTGGTCGACGGGAACGTCCTCCAGCGCAATACCTCTGTCCTCGTCCATTGCCTCCTCGACGTAGGCTTGTCGCGAAGGGTGCATCATCTTGGGCAGCGGGAGGGCTTTCGGCCCGGGAACGTCAGAGTTGTTGCAAGTCGCGTCGAGAGAGTGATTCGAGGGAGTCGGTCGAGGCTTCTGGAGCTGGGGGAGAAGTGGGTTAAGCTCCAATGGATGCCTAGTGAAGTAAACAAATGTTTAGGATTTGGGATTTCGTAGAGCTTACAACAGTACGTGCAAGCAAGTAGTGAACCAAGGATGCGCGCGCCTGCCACCATGCATTCGGGGTCCACTGAAAATTTCTCGGCTACGGTGGCTCTTTTCGCCGTGCCGCTGCCCGCCCAGGTGTCCGAGTCCCCAAAGGAATCTTTCCAGGTTGGCTGGTGGTGGGTACCTACTTTACCAACAAAGCGAAAATAAAATAAAAATAAAATAAAAAGAGATCCCTGATAATTGATCTGAATTTACACAGGGTGGTGCACGTCTGTGAGGTTGATATAGCATAAGAGTGTATGGAGCTGGATCAGTGACATTGAATAGCTTGAATTGCATCTTAACTACAAGAAGCTATGGACCTATTTGCCCTGCTCTCTACCGCCCGTCCACGCCATATCCGTCCGTCTCCACCTACGCCCTCCAGTACAAAATAAATAAAAAGATAAAATGAAAAGACTCATTAGTGGATGGTGATCGCCAGCTTTGTGGGCAACATCCAAGGTATCTGAAAGAGGTCAAAAAGCTTTTGTTATCAAAGGAAAAGGACGTATGAAGAAAACAGTTACAGTCCAGAAACAAGGTTCGATAAACGAGCTGCAATGATTCAATCAGCTCGGAGTTCCCTCTCTGCTGCGACTCTCACGCTTGCTCATGAAGCTGCGGCGAACAATAGACTTGGGGCTATCAGGATCCAAGGTGCTGGCTGACGCGACAAAGGTACTCTTCATGATGACCGTTCCGCTTCCAACCTTGATCTCCTTCTCGGCTCCAGTTCCGGTTTCATCAACGAAGTAAAGGGCCTCGCCCAGGTCGTCATCGCTCCTGAGGGTGTGCTCGCCCTTGGCCTCGATCTTGAATTGGGTATCGGGTGTGCATGTGGTCTTGAAAGTCTCGTTGAATCGGAAGAAACCAGTGGCGTCCTTATGGTGCTTGGTCTTGCCGATTGACTTGGGCTTCGGCGTCAACTGGTTGATGGTGATGTACAGGTCGGTTGAGGGAGGAAATCCCGTTGCGGACACGACAGTGAAAGAGGCGCTTCCTGAGCCGGGAGAACCCGGGTTCAAGCTGTGAACAGAGGCGGCTCCGTTGCTCTGTTTACGCGCGTGACCACCCAGTGTAGAGCCATTGGAGGTGCCCGGCCGCGTATCAGGGGATTCACTCCCATCCGATGTGGAGAACCCTGTTGCTCGCTTCAGTCCGAGGCCAGGTGTCGGTCCAGGAGGGCTGCCTCCATTCTCGACAATGGTTGGGATGTCGTTGAAACTAGACGACGCACCATCTGCGTCATCCTCCTTTCTGGAAAACAACCCACGCTTGAGGAACGAAGCACCTTTGCCCACGCCGTGACCAACGGTGCTGCCAACTTTGATGGGTGCGCCTGCAATGCCAGTGACGATTCTTCCAGGTGCCGCGAATGTTCCGGAAAAGGTAGAGGTACCTTGACGAGTTCGAGTGACGTACGAGGGCCGGAAGAGCATCCTCAATCTGACTGTGCCCGACTTTCCATCCAGAATCAGTCGACTCTCGCTAGGTCTGAAGGGATCCAACTGTTCAAGGTTGATGTCGGCAGCTCCAAGGAAATCGGGCTTATCGGCGAAATCGTAGTCCCACACAGTGACCTTGAACTTGGCAGCCGTTCTCGATGGGACGGGAACTTCAAAGAATTCGTTCCAGGCAGGGTGCAGCGTCTTCTTCTGAACCTTGGTCTTGTACACATCCTCGCCATTGAGTTCAAACTTGCAGTAAGGGTCGCTCTTGCCATTTGAGTCGGCTGATGGGAGGTCTTGGGCGTCCAAAACATCGACGCGGAGGGTACCCATGTTGTTGATACTTTCGCTCGGATCCAGCTGCATCTTGACGGGAATATACTTGAGGCTGACCTTGACACTGCTGGGCCGGTTTTCCTTGTCTTTCAACTTGAGAGTCGTGGGGTTATTCTGGGGCTAGTTAGTAATTTGTCATGTTTCTAGGAGATGAAAAACTCACCAGGCACTGCTTCAGCGTGTCCAAAGTGTTTCCCTGCAGCTTGGCGATGGTGTGGTCCTTGTCCTTGTCGCTGCCCTCGACCTTGTCGCCCTTCTCACGGACCTTGAGTGTAAGACGAGAGAAGTCGAGCTCTCGGATGAAACAATCGCCAATTTCATCAAATGCGTGCTTCTTGTGCTTGGCGGCAGACGAGGTATACGAGGGGAAGGCCATGTCGTCGACCCAGACTTCCAAGTGCGTGTTGTGCTCAGGCATCTCCGCTTCCATGAGCTTGAAGATCAAGAGACCAGACTCATACTTCAGAAGCTCCTGAGGGGACAGCCGGATCTTAGGCGGGCCGCTTTCATCCTTGGATTTCCTGGGCATAGTAGGTGAGACAGGAGTGACTGGTGTCTTTGGCGGGCTGATTTCCAACTCGGCTGCGTCCTTCTTCTCTTCGGTCTTCTTCTCCATGGAGCTGCTGAATTTACCGGCCTCTGACGATCGCGGGGCATCCTCAATCGCCTTCGCAGCCGCAGCCGCCTCAGCCTCTTCCTCCTCGTCTTCAGGGTCGGCAACATTGAGACAAGGGAAAAAGGATACCGTGTAGGTCAGAACACCCTTTGCGATACCCTTGCCATGAAGCTGCAGACCTCCCTGGAACGTTTTCTTCTGATCGTGAACGTTGTACTCGCCGTTCTCAGCTTGCGAGATGTAGTCGCCAGCAAATACTTCAATCAAGCCAAGACTGCGATCCTTGCCCATCTTCTCAGAGTCCATGACTTCGAGCGTAAGGCGCTCGCGAGCCGAGTGGACTGGAACGTAGAGAACCTCATCAAAGTCGGGATCAAGAGTGTTCTTATGGGTAACTGTGCGAGCCTTCTCAATGCCAGAGAGAAGAACACGCACGTAGGGGTCGGATTTGCCAAGAGTCTCGAAGTTGCGAAGGTCCTTTGCGTTCTTGAAGTGGAAACGCATAACACCAACCGGGGTGACGTAGCCTCCCGTTCCACCAACTACACCAGAAAGAGCAACCGGCTTCCATTGAGCCATCATCTTCACGCGACCGGTCGCGACGCCAGAGAGATGGAACCACTCCTGGCTCTTGCCCATGCACTCCAGCATGTCCTCAAGCTTGATCTGGTACTTGCCGATGACCTGGTCACCAGTGAGATCGCGGTCGTCTTTGATCGTGACTCCGAGTTTAGCGTTCTTCTTGTCAGTAATCAACATCTCCTTCGAGCCATTGTCCCAGATCGGGTTGTTGGTCCTCTTTAGCTTCTT